ATCAAATGAAGAAGGCCAGAACATACAATGGTAGAAACATTGTGAATATGGCAACAAAGATGAGGACAACAGTCCGAACAATGTAAATAATTGCAATACCTCATCTCAGAAATATAAATGAATCTATTGTAGACAAGAAATACTAAGACCTTTTTTCTTACTCTGCAATGAAAATTGAGTAAATTTAAATGGTTTCAACCAATTGTCTGTTGGACCTTATCTAATAATGTACATGTATAATATGTCTTATAATCCTCATATTATTCTATCAATAAGAACATTACTTTAGTCTTATGAAGTCCTTTTAGAGGACAAAAAATGTTAGAATTTTTTCCATTGTTATTCAATTATCCAATCCTTAAAATAATAACCAATCAGATCATACAGAGATTGCAAGCTCAAGAAAATAGAATTCAAATACATATTAAATGATTTAAAACAAAGGATTCATTGGTCAAAAAGTTAATTCAGTCATTAAGTAGATAAATAAAAGACAATTTTTCTTTTCAATATTAAATGAAGTCAAATATTATTTGCGCTTTCACCATTACATATATTTAGAGAAGAGTGTAGATAATTATTGACTTTCCCTTGTATAATTTCATCCATCTAAAATTACCAATCTCAGTAAAGAGCTGATATAGGTGCTTTTTACAGTTTTCCAAGGAACTGATTTTTCATTACAAAATATTCAAACTGAAATAAATTTTATTCATGGCAGATTAAGAAAAACATCCCAGTGAAGTTCTCACAATTTTTGTCTACCTAAGTTGCCAAAGAATCATGAGGTCAAGTGTTATCCTGATTTAATATTTTATTTTTCTCTTAATTGTTGATGCTTTTTGTTGATTTCTGTTTTCAGTTGGTTTAATTGGAACAGTATTTGTTTGAATCAATTGATTCTCCGGAAGGAACTCGGAGAAGAGGAATCCCTTTCATATACACAGAATCAACTTTGAATGAAGACCAAACTTAGTAGTGATTCATTCCAATTGTCCTATAATCTCTTATATTTCATATACTCATTGACAATCAATTTCTTAAAATGAACAGATGTGGTGTTTAGATGGCAAATCCTGCATGCAAAATACAAGTTCAGTAGTTTTATTTTAACTTGTGTGGAAGCCACAAAACAAGGAGACTAATATAACCAACATGACACAAATGACTGTCAACAATTGATCGGGATGTTTTTAATATGTTAGCTCTCTCCTAAATCAGGTATTGTCTCTTGATTCTTGGTTGACTCAACTGGAGAGCAACTTTCAACAAGAAATCTCCAGTGAAAAATGTTGCAAACCAGTTCCAACACATTTCTTCTTCATAAAGTGCACAAATTTCATTCCCCAGACTTTCTTAAAATAAAAAAAGTATCAAACGTTGAGTGTACCATTTATTTTCGCCCAATATTCTCTGCTGTAATCAATAAAAAATTGCTAATTTTGATGACATCTTTTGTAAAAGACAGACACTAAAATGACAGCTGTCACAGAATTGATCTTTTTGAATGAAGTTAAAACAAAATGGGTCTGACAAAAACAGAATGGAATTTTTAGGTTATTCAATAAAAACATTTAAATGACATTTGAACAAGATCCACATTGTACTTATGAATATGCAACACAATTTAATAATTCAGAATTTGGAGATATTTATGAATAGATAATGCATAATACATTATAGCTGTAGAAGCTTTTGCAGTTGCAATGAAAACTTTTTTTTAAAAAAGTCATTTTAAATACGTACTACACAGATATTATTAGTTTATTGCATGTGTGTGTATATATATATATATATATATATATATATATATATATATATATATATATATATAGAGAGAGAGAGAGAGAGAGAGAGAGATAACTAGGTAGTAATTGTTCTAAACAAAACAAATTTTATTAAAAAGGATAGATATTTTATGTCTATTGAATTTATCCAGTCTTTTCCAAATTGTGAATCGCCTTCTGCAAACCTGACTGCTGAAGATGATAAAAAAAAAATGTGTCCAAGCTACTTAAAAAAATGACTGACTTAAAAGATTTGATTTTTAGTCCTACATTTATATTACTTTAAATGTTATAGTTTTACACTGCGTATTGGAAATAGTGCATTATTTTATTTTATGTATATATGTATTAAGTCTAGTGGTCTGTGCCTTTGAGAAATCTTAGTAAAGGAAATGTGTTCTTCAGCAGGAATTGAACTTATGTCACCTTTTGTAAGGGAAGCCACCATTTGATCTGGCATGTATTACTGCTCAGCCATGAAGAACATTACAGTAAGCAAAGTTCTGGTTTTCCTACAAAGAGGGGACACAAGTTGATCCCTACCTAAGAACATATTGTCTTTATTAGGATTTCTCAAATGTGCAGGCCAATAAATGTAAAACACACTGTTTAATAAATAAAAAAAAAAAATGTATGTCTATTTCAAAGATGAATATTTGAAGTAATATATAAGGAGACACTGAAGTCAACACTGTGGTGACAGTGTTTCATGCTGTGTCCACTTTTATATTTACATATGGTCTGTCTCTGATATTGAGCAGCTTTACCCATAAATATATCATAACTTAAAGCACACATACACACATTTTATTGCCCATTGAGTGCTGGTGCAAATAAAATAGTGCTTGATGTATAATAACAGGGCTAGAATTTATATTAATAATAAATATAAATTCCCTCCTGCCACTCTCAATGGTAGGACAACTGAGTTTTATGCACAATGTAATCATCAGGTGCTGATTGAATATATATATATATATATATATATATATATATAGAGTGCTGAAAAAGCCTTTTCTCATAGAATTTTGATATTTGGTCAGATTTTGGGAAGTGTGCTGGGGTGACAATGTTTCACCATCTCTCCTGCTGTGTATATACATGAACGGATTACTTGTATGATTGGATAACTTTGTTAAATCTATTAAGTTATAATTTCTTTAATTTATAAGACTAGATCTATATTTCTATTTTATACTTACAGGGAAACATGTGAAGCAAGTTTGACACAAAATAATGTTTCAAAACTTCTCACTGTACCAAGTTCGACAAAAACTAATTATTGAATGACATTTAAACCAATGTCTATTTCTGGGAAAACATTCTGTTATAGCAATACAAACATTTCAAATGGATAGAACTTACCACGTTTTCATATGAATCTTATTGGCAAGAACTCTTACATAACAGCAATTTAACTAATCATATGTAATCATTTGCATATTTTTGTATATTATTAGCATTAAGTGTTCTTTTGAGCAATAAAAAGAAAAAAGGTTAAACAAGTCACACACAAAATTTTTAATAAAATACTCTGTACATAGTAAACATTTTCTAAAGAATTAATGTTTTTTCTTTTTTTGATTCGACATATTTTTATTACTGCAAACATTGTTTTTAGTGGATACCTGTATTTGAGTTGATGCTCTGTTCATTTTATACAGTATTTTGTCTACCGGCCTGAAATAAATATACTGTTTAATAAATAAATGGAGTGTCTACTCAAATACATGTATCTACTAAAAAATAACATTTTATTACTTTATAAACATGCCGGATTATAAAAGTCCACTAATATTTTAGGAATTGCTTTGTTTAGATTTTGGAAACAAAACTGAGTAGTTATGACTTTCAAGAAAATCTAAATGAGTAAATGTGCTTTAAAAGGCAAAAAGCCTTGCTCAATTGTGAAGCCCTTCATAGCCAAGCAGTCAAAGCACTGGTGGTTTCTCCTGCAAAAAGGTTGGGTGTAAGTTCAAAACCTGCCAGAGGGCACAATTTGTTTAAAATAAGTTTACTCGAATGTGCAGATCAGTAGACAAAATAAAATACTGTTTAAAATAAACAGAGCGTTTACTCAAATATGGGTATTCACTAAAAATAATGTTTAAAGTAGTAAAAATAATAAGCATTATGTGACATTTTATGAACATAGAACTTATAGCAATTAAGCAAACAAGCTGTCATGACATTTTTATCGTTAGTTTCTACTATTCCATGCATTTTTTAAACAATATTTTGACCGACATATTTTTCAGCCTTCTTGACGCTTATACTACATGATGTGTTGGTCTCTAGAAGTCTCGTAATACTTCTTGGCGCTACTTAAATTTATTGGTCCACTCGTAAAAATATTTTTTTAAATAGTTTAGTAGATTAGCATTTATTAGACCTATTCAACCTACAACAGGTGTCAGAATCAAAAAAAAAAAGAAAAAAAAAAAAAAAAAAAGATCTTTTTATCATTTTTACAAATGGAGGGGTCCAGTTCATAATATAAATGCAATGTGAAATTAATCCCCAACTTCATAAAGAGTTACCTGCAGTTTTTTTATTTAAAAATGTCAATGATAGCTGTGTATTACTGATGTTGGCCTTTTTATTAATTTGTAATAATATGCAGTTATAAGAGGTTTCAAATTTGACATTTGTAAATAAAAACAAAATACAGATAACTCTTCAAAATGTCAGGGATTGATTTAACATGGTATTTATATTATGAACAGGACCCCCACTTCTAAAATGATAAAAAAATATTTTTCAAGTTTGACAATGTTAATCTAATTTTAATGTAAAAAAAAAAAAATTCCAAATCTTTTACGAGCAGACCTATGAATTTAAGTAGTCCCCTTTTCCCTGTTCCTTAAAAAACGAAAACAAAAAAAATTAATAAAAGGTCATGGAATTATGTTCCAAAGTGATGTGTGGGAACAGATGGTTTTTATCTGTTCTGTGAAACTTTGGCAGGAGTAAGGAAAAATTCAAATGGCCTTCTAAAGATCACCACATGCAATGTATTATGGAGAATAATTGAAGAATATATCAGCTGAGGAGGAGGAGAAGAAAAAAAAATATAAAAAGCCTGAAAACTGCATGGAAAAATATTTAATCTTAGGAAGAAACAAAAAAAAATGTTTACTATTAACTGAAAAAAAGCAAAGGAAAAAAGGTTTTCAGATGTGCAAGAAAAACTTTAAGAGATTTCCAACTTGCCATATATGTGGTAGATATTGTTGGGGAATAAAGTCTCTGAAATATGTAGAAATTAACAAAGCTTAACTTACATAGCATTAAAACAGCTGAAAATGAAAGTTTTGTTAATAGAGTCACTACCTGAAGAGCTATTTCCTGGCATGAAAGAATATTCAAAGATAAAAATAAATATTTAATCAGAAGAAAGTGTTATAAAATGAGTTTTTTTTTTTTTAAACAATTACCTAAATTTTGTCTGGATTTCTGGGATGAAGAGTTATTTACACTATTTATATTCAGGCTATTATTCTCATCTTTGTTGTTTTTATCACAACATTTCAGTCATTGCACTCTACAGCCTTCCTCAGGTGTATATTGATCTGGATAACCCACACCTGGTGGCTGGAGGGCACAACAGTTGAAATGTTGTGATACAACAAAGATGAGGACAATAGTCCAAATATAAACAGTATAAATAACTACTTAAATATTTAAAATTTTTCATGTATAACAAAGGAAAAAACCCTTCTTCCAATATGAATTGCTTATTTGTGTCATGGTTCAACAAATGGTGTAAAAATTTATTTAAGAGAGAACAGAAAAAATATTAAAGAGGAGAAGTCATTCTTAACAAAAAACCCGATTCTCAATTTTTGGGAAATATGATCTTCAGTATTCATTACCACATAACCATTTGAAAGAGATTAATAGAAATAAAAAGAAATAAAAAAAGCACTATTGAGATTAACAAATTTAAACATATAGAAAATTTAAAATACATTGTGTAATGTAATTTTTTTTTTTTTTTTTTAAACTTCACAATTAGTGACAAAGAATTTCTGGCAATCTTTAACCTTCATCCCCACAAAAAACAATGTGTCAAAAGAACAGTTTTCCCTTGACACTACAGTAATGTTTATCATTTTAAAAGTGATGAATAGAATTATAATAAAATGTAAACATATTTTTTTTGTTCTTGAGAATAATAACCAGATAAAAAAATAGAAATTTTGATATCAATTTTGTAATAGTTAAGAGTGATAATTTCCAACAATCTTTTTTAAATTGTCATCATTCATTCCTCAAGCACAACAATAAAATAAACAATGCAATATCATTCATTTTGTAATGAAACAAATATTGGCAAAAGTAATGCCCACATGCTTGCAGTTAACAGAAAATAAAACGGAGCAAAACAAAGTATAGAAAAACCAACTTTTGTGACAATATACGTGAATGGCATGGTGAGCAAAGCAGACACAGATTCATATTATATTTGTTCAATAAAATGCATTTTTATAGAGAAAGAAAAATGTATTATATTCAAATTGGAAACACATGTAGAAGAGAACGGCTTACAAGACATAATTAAAAACTTCATATATAAACTATGAAGAGGTTAAGAAAATAATTTGTCAAACTGGAATTTAAAAGAGGGATTCCAAACTCCAAGTTTCTAAGAAAAAGTTAAGATAAAAATACAAATCTGAAAAGAAAAATGAACTTTGCATGATAATTTAGGCAAGACAAAAGTGTATACACACTTTTAGATGACCATTGCATTAAAATTGTTTGTTTTTTTTTTTTGATAAAGAGTAATACAACATTAATATGGTAGACAATAAAATAGAATAACACCCATAAATATGAAGATTAATCAAAAAGTAATGTCTGTTCTAATTTAAATTTAAAAATATTACTCTGAATTTCTTTGATTTCTTTCTTATAAACCATAAATTGTGATGAAGCCCAGGTTGCAGGGAATCTATATGGTTACCTTGTATTTTCCCACCCATAACCATTTTTAAAATAGCTACCACTCTGGACACGGAAAGCAAAAAACAATGTAGAATTTCTGTTTTTGTCAAACATTCAGGAGGCTACATTTGATATAAGAATGATAAAAAGATGGGTTAGTATTTGATTGATTGCTTAATTGATATTTTTTTTATGATTTATCAACCCTTAAATGATTATTTAATATATTTAAACATATTTTGGATTTTAAGATTTTTTTTTTGCAAGTGAAACAATTTTGGAGAATCAGTGATTTTTTTCCATATATAAAGCCTACTATTTAACCCATAACTGGGGGAGATGGATTCATACCTTTTCCAAAGTTATTTGCACATAAGTGAATGTAAAAAAACCCAACTGAAATTTGAACTCTGGTCTCCAATTACTTATACTAAGCTGCTATCCATTACACCACTTGCACATTCAGATACGATAATAGAGTGAAGGGAAATAATTGACCTCAGTGGAACAAGGGTAGGATAAATAGGCTGATGCTGTCATTACAATTGACAGAAAAAAAATCTCTTCTAAAACTGTGAAAGCTTTTTAGTGAGCCATAGTAGTAGTGGCAGTTCAAGATAATATCTTGGCTACTCAAACAATTATACAAAGTGATGTTCCCTGAATGCTGACAGACTTCATGAAAGAGCAGATGGTGGTTGCTGTGCAAGAGCTTCTGTAACTGTACAATATGGATAGCACAGAGAGGACAGTGGATCTCCTATGATAAGGAAATGAAAGGTAACTTGCAACTGGCTAAGAAAGCAGCCCAGACAGGAAGCTTCTAAGAGGTGATTAGACATGCTCTCATTCAAGCAGGGAATAATGTGATAGAGAAGAAGGAGAATGAGAATCCTGAACATTTCTATACTTCTATTAAATCTGTTTTAATTAAAGAAGAGGCATTTCTCTTTCACTGACTGTCATATTTACTTAGCTTACTCTGGCACAAAGTCAAATGCAGGAAAATAGGACATGGAAGATTGTGTTGCCACAAATTCCTAAATGGGGAGAACCTACTTATTTCAAACAAATCTCACCATGGTCAATTTGTCAGGGAATTGACTTCTTGATGTTATTGACTGGGTAGGTGATCCCACCATTAGAAAGTACCTCAAAAACCACACCATGTGTTAACCTAAGCCTTGTGAGTGAAATTAGGTAGACGGAGGTGTTCAAAAGCTGTTGATGAGTGTGCTAGCCTGAAGTCACAAGTCATTGTGACTGAGGATGCGAGTGTACTGGCCTTGTTCAAACTGTTAATCACACCAGATTATGTGCTCTCTCTTGGAAAGTAAATAAGGCCCACTTAGCATAGTTTCAATATAAACCATGGGTGGACTTTGTGGGTGTTGGACAAACATTAATGTGCCTGAGCAGGCGTCTGCAACAGAGATTGGGCAACAGCCCAAGGAGATGGGCCTGCTTGAAAAAGAGTAGCTGGCTATTATTATCCTTTGAATAGAAAGGTATGCACTTTTTAAATTTTCAAAAGGTAGATCTTCAGATTCATTTTACAGATATTGTAGTTATACATCTTTTTTTTTATCTGCTTCATTCCTTAAATTTTTAAATTCCTGTACATTGAAAAAAATAAAAAAAAAAAAATAAAAAAAAAAATAAAAAGAAAAAAAAAGATAAAATATGAACTTGTTATATTGAATTTAAAAATGACAAACATTTTTGGATGTGCATAATTACCTGTGGAAAATGTATGAATACCTGTTCACTCCTAAGCTATGAGTTAAATTTTTTTTTTCTTTTTAACTAATGTTCACTCAGTACAAGGCCCAGGGGCCACTCAAGGTAGAGGGTTACTGTGTGAAGTTGTATTACCATAAGAAAGGGAAAGATAACAGGCAAGTGAGACAGCTAATTCTAGACTTGAAGAGGTCAAAATTTAAACAGCAAATAAAAAAATTTAAGAGTTCAAATGGAGACGTGAGGAGTATACAATTGAAGTAGGCTTTAGAAGGGTCACAATACTAAATGAGAAACAAGGGATGAACCTCTACTCCTGTTCAAGAGACCGGGGAGGAATGTGAACTGGGTGATAGGCAAACCTATCTACTCCTAGAGCAGACTGGACTCTCTAGCCATGGTCAGCAGCCAGTATAGAAGGACAACTGAATTCAAAACTTATGTATGTGTCTCTAGTGAGACACATAATTGAACTGTAATGAAGATTCACTCAGCATAGTTGCAGTATAAACCACAGGTGGGCTCTGTGGATGCCAAAGAAACATAAATGGGCAGATAGGCATGTTTAGAAATGAGCAGTCATACTGAAGATGTAAAATGTAACTGATGTGCCTTAAGTGTGCCTTCATGCTCTGATGATGATACAAATATTTTTCCAAAAAATGACAACATTATGAAATTAATTGATATTTAGTTTTGTAGTGATATTCAAATAAGCCTTGCCTCATTTGCATACAAGTGCATTGATATATTAGTCCACATTGGTGGAATTGAGACTTTTCTGATGCAGTCACAACATCATTGCGTTGATCATGTTGCAAGCATGAGCGATGACAGAATACCTAAAGTCCTATAACCTGCAACAGTGGACAAAAAACTTTTGGACGGCTGTGGCTCAGGTATAAAGACAAGCTAAAGAGTAATCTGTCAGCTGTCAATGTGCCTCATACCAAGTTTGAACAAGTTGCCCTGGATAGGAATAACTATTTGCACCACAGTGGTGTCAGAAATTTTGAAATCAGTCATATTGACAGGCTAGGTGACAAAAGACAACAGCGAAAAGCATCAGCAAATATTCCTGTGGTTATGTCACAAGATCTGAGCTGTTGCAAAATATGTGGACTTGTAAGATCAAAAGCAGGACTGAAGTGTTACATACGACACAAACATAAAACCTAAATGAGGTTTGTCAGATCTTCATACGTCAAAGTTGATGGGAGAGGCCATCACACACACACACACACACACACACACACACACACACACACATATATATATATTATATATTAAAAAGAAGAGGGAAACTGCAAATGTTTTTGGTTATAATGCGGATTTTTTTAAATATATATTATACTTTATTTTCCATATTTTTCCTACACAGGTTTCTGGTCTTGTGGCCTTCATCAGGCAAAGAGTGAATATTTCCACATATTCTAAAAAAAAAAAAAGAATTAATTTTCCTTATGTTTTTCCAAGTTTACTTTTTTGTGTAGTAGTAACCAAATGTTTTTCTTGAACTGGTGGCAAAAGTGTTCTTCTACTTAACGGGTAATAAAACA